CACTCTAAGAAGGTAGATCTATAGCGATGTTTGCTGATGCGTCTAAAAGATTGAATAAAGGCTCTTAATGGGATTTGCTGCAGTCAGCACAGTCCAGCTCAACGGGATAAAGATCCCAGCACCCCCCTGCCCCCCCACTCACACTCCCACACACACAGTCGTGTTTGCATGACTTATGGGGACATTTCATTGACTTCCATTCATTAATATGGCCTAGCCCCGACCCTGGGCCGGGCCCCGACCCTGGGCCTGGCCCCGACCCTGGGCCGAGCCCGACCCTGGGCCTGGCCCCGACCCTGGGCCTGGCCCCGACCCTGGGCCTGGCCCCGACTCAAAGAGAACTTTACTAGAATCCTGGTCCCCATGGCGTGACTGTGAACGGGGGTGGTAGGCGTGGGCTGCAGGAGTATGCCCATCGATCTAAGGGTTGTCAGTTCAAACCCGGCTCCAGCTTTCAGTGCTGTTGTGTCCTTGGGCAAGACACTTGACCTGCATTACCTACAGATGGTGGCCAGATGGTGGCGCCAGCGTACGGCAGCCTGGTTTCAGTCAGGCCAGCTGTGGCTGCTATGTAGCTCACCACCATCAGTGTGTGAGTGAATGTAAAACGCTTTGCTAAAGTCCTCTGCCATCTGACGCTTTATAAGAACAAGACCAGATCCACTGGTGACCAGATCCACTGGTGAACAGATCCACTGGTGAACAGATCCACTGGTGACCAGATCCACTGGTGACCAGATCAGGCTTTTCCTTTCAGTCTGGCTCGTTATCCCTACCTTCTCTGTTTATCCTGCTAGTTCAGACGGTATGGCCCCTCCCTCATTATTGATGGTGCTATATAATTTATATAATAGCACAAGCTCTGATTATCCTTCACTCCTGGTGAACTTTCACCATCAGGCACTAAAAGAATTCACATCATTTGAAGCTTTTTAGATGTCAGACTGTTAGAAAAAGGTGAGAATGATCAGGCAGCTTTGGGAGAGATGCGACTGACTGATCGGTGCTTGTTGTTTCAGGGGCATCGTGGCCAGCATCCTGGTGTTCCTCTGTTTCGGAGTAACGCAGGCTAAAGATGGACCCTTCACCAGACCCCATCCAGGTAAAACACACTTCCTCAGGTGATCGAACCCTCAGGATCCACATCAGGTTTCTGACCTCATTCTTTGGCTTTTTATCCTCAGTGCCTCAAGGCCACACACACACACACACACACACACACACACACGCACACCATACCGCCTTCTCTGCTCTGATTGGTCAGAGGAGTTGGCCTGATGAGTTGGCTCCTCCCATTAGCAGCTTTTCAAAATAAGAAGTTGCAGATAGAATTTGCTACCAGCTCAGTAAAACATAGAGTTTTGATAATAGATTTACTATGACGGTCAGATAGTTGATAAAATACATCAAAGATAGATTTAGGTGATGTTTTGTTGTTTACCGAAAGATCATGAATATATTAAACAACTAGAACTGGAAGTAAATGAATAATCATTTAAATTAAGTCTAAATAATTAATTATAATCAGTAGAATAATTTTATGTGTCATTTGCCGACTGACCGGGTTTTACATTAAGGGTTGGACTCCACCGTCCGGCTGTCTTTATTAAATATATTAATTACCAACCAAATAAATGTGTCTGTTCATTGGGGGGGGGGGGGGCATTTTGTTTCCCGCCTCCTAAAGAGTCTAAAATCCAATCAGGGCCTCAAGCAGCAGCTCTGCTAACAACATGATCAGAGAGACATTCATTAGATTTTCATATTCCTGTGAGTTTAAAGCTCAGCCTGTAGAGAAGCTGCAGGTAAACATGGCTGCTCTGCCTGGATGTCCGCCACGCTCCTTTAACGCACAGATCAGTTATATCTAGAAAAATAAATCTATTCCTGCCATATAATCACGCATACCGGCGTATATTCCCATATTCTGGTGTTTTATAGAGTTATTTATCTGCATAGGGCCGTTATAATGCTGTGACTCTATTCCATCATAAATGGTTGAAGCTGCAGTCGGTCGTCAGCCTGACGGATCCGGCCGCCTCTTTAACGCCGCAGGGAAGGAAGCGTGGAAAGAAAACAAGCAGGTTGGAGGAGCAGAGGCGACGCCTCAGACGTGTTTGTTGTTGCTCTGCTTGTTGTCAGGTTACAGTTGGAGCTCCTGTGATTTACTGTGAACAAACAGACACACTCCCTGACCTGTTGAGCGAGTCCAGTCACTTCTGTCGCTCTGCGCTGCAGGTTCCTCCGTAGATGAACTCAGACCTGTTACTGAACTACTGAGCAATAAAGGAAATGAATCTCTACAGATCAGATCAGAAATGATGTTTTTTTGCAGAGCTTTGATCTGTTTACCTGATTTTAAACTCTCTTCATGGTTGCTGCTCTCAGCTGATCGTTGCTTATAAATTAATTAGTTCACTGAACAGAACAGTTTATGTAAAACCAGTTGAATTATTCTAAATCTGAAAGCCTCTAGAATCTGAGATGAGCTTCACTTTCATCTCCAAATATTCCGCCTCCAGGAATCAGACTGTAATTGTAATATCATTTAAAAAAAGAAATGCAGGTTCCACATTATGCAAACACTGTTTTTGGTCTCGATGCATTTAGCAATGTTCCCTCCAGGCCTGTAGGTGGCGGTCAAACACTCTGAATAGCGTAGATCTGTCCCATAGACACCAGTCTCACTCATATTTTATGCTTTTATAGAAACCTTTAAAATCCAGTTTAAGGTTTAAAACTAAGGAATAAAACTTTGATGACAGATTATCCATCTTTCTGTAAACGATCCTGCTTCCTTTGCCTCTAATGTTCCTCCTTTTGGACACCATCCACACCTGGGATCCTTTACCATTCAGATCTAGGTCACACTGTCGGTGCATCTCTAGTTAGATTAGATCTAAGATAATGAGCTCATCACAGATGAAGGTCCAAATGGTTGAACCTGCAGAATCCTGATCTGATCCATTGTGTGTGTTTCTCTCCAGCTTACTGGCGTTTCTGGCTGTGTGTTAGCGTCGCCTACGAACTCTTCCTCATCTTCATCCTGTTTCAGGTATGGATCCCATTCTATAAAAGCTTTTCTATCTAGACATTGATCCTGGCTCTAAATCAGCAGAACTCTGCTCCACCCGGCCGATTTCCCCCACGGGGGCCGATTTCCCCCACGGGGGCCGATTTCCCCCACGGGGGCCGATTTCCCCCACGGGGGCCGATTTCCCCCACTGGGCCGATTTCCCCCACTGGGCTGTTCTGATAGAATCATCATTTTAAAGTTGTAGGGAAATCATATTTAAATGTCAAATCTTTCTGGCTTATGGAATTTCCCATTGGGAACCTGCTAGCACTAAGTTGCTAACTGGTTAGCAAGATGCTTCCAACAAACCGGCCACAATCAAGCTTGCTTGTGAACCTTCCGCCACAACAATCCCGCCCCCTTGATAATAGACCAATCACATTCACTTTATTCACTTGTGTAAAGTCGTGCACCACTGGGAGAATTCAAAAAGGTTGGAACGGCCGCTTCCCTACGACTTTAAGGCGTTCTTAAATGCCTGTTTTTTTTGTCTCTATCCATCCATCCATTTTCTAACACCCTTATCCCGAGTGGGGTCAAGAGGGGTGCTGGTGCCAATCTCCAGCAGTCGGTGGGCGAAAGGCGGGCTACACCCTGGACAGGTCGCCAGTCCATCGCAGTCTCTTGTCTCTTCCAGTTAAATTTAATTAAAAAGACAAGGATCCAGTCCGTTAGCCCGGGTTCCAGTTTGGAGATGATTTATCAAAGTTCAAACTTGATGCAGGAACTAGAAGCTGTATTTGCAGCAGAACTGATCAGGTGTTGATGAAGCCGTTCTTCTCTGAACAGACGGTTCATGATGGACGACAGTTCATGAAGTACATTGACCCCAGATTGGGGGTCCCTCTGCCTGAGCGGGATTATGGAGGGAACTGCCTCATCTACGACCCGGGGAACACTACTGACCCCTTCCACAACCTCTGGGTAAGAAAATTACCTTCTCAGCTAATTTCTCCTTCAAAGGTTTGGAATAAAACCCATTAAAGGTTAAAATGTTGAACCTTTAATGGGTTTTATTTGGATTTTATGTGATAAAATAACTTTAAATGTTGCTGCAGTGATTCCAGCTTTCCTCTCTTCAACATCTAGAAACAGAATATTTGCAGCTCCATCTTGAGAGATTTAGGTCCGTACTTTGACTAGGCCATTCTGCTTTAATCTGCTCACCTCCGGCTCAGTCTGAAGTGTTTAGCAGCCTCCTGTCCGTCCAGGATTGGGCCCTCAGCATGATGCTGCCATCACCGTGTCTCTCTCATAAAGACTATATTTATGATTGCATGACTGATTTTTATTGTCTCAGTGTTTTCCAGACTGTCTTCCTGTTTACTGCAGCCTCCCTCCATGGGTCAGTCTGTCAGCTGGATCCCTAACAGTCTTCGTTTCAAAGCTGTGGGACATTTTGGAAACATTAGGGGCTGATTTAAAGCCAGAAGACGCTTCCTTTGTGAAACATTGTTTGAATCCACATAGATGCTCCCAGCATGGCTCTGGGGGCGGAGCTAAAAAGCTTCCTCTGATGCACTCCGCTGCTGCGGTCTCTTTATAAACAGGTTAGCTCTGTTATAAAGCTGCCTCTTGTCAGCAGAGGTTGATTTTCCTGACGATGGAGGCTATTGCTGCTGAGATCATCCCATCAGCTTTCCAGACCCTCCAATGATCCAGAGAGAAGCTAATCCTGCAGAGATGGAAACCATCTACTGCTTCTCATATGTCTGACTGTTTGTGAACTGATTTCCTCACACTATAGAAGCGTCTTTATATTCCCAGTCCAAGTTCAATGTGGAAATCCCTTTGTTTCCTTCTGCAGGATAAGATGGATGGCTTCGTTCCAGCTCACTTCCTGGGATGGTACATAAAGGTAAACCCTGAGAGTTTATCCAACCTCTGAGTCACACATGGAATCATTTTCTGATCCTGCTTCGTTTAAACGTTTAACCAACATGGCCGCCTAGATAATGCTGCGGTTTGTCCTTCAGACTCTGGTGATTCGGGATTGGTGGATGTGTATGATCATCAGCGTCATGTTCGAGTTCCTGGAGTACAGCCTGGAACACCAGCTGCCCAACTTCTCTGAGTGCTGGTGGGACCACGTGAGTACCCCCCCCACACACACACACACACACACACACACACTAACAGAGCAGTTTGTTTAAAAATATCTGAGTCTTCTTTTAGCTTTAGTTCGTTTTTCACTCGTCTCTATGACAACCTACAGTTAAAACGATGGAAATCATCAAATAATGAGCAGAAAATTTTCCTTCTGCTGCTAAAGATGAAAATATGTTTCTTAGGAAAATCATTCATTGGATCTGATTTTACTCCAGAAGTTTAATTATGTAGAAAAAAGGCGCCGTCCTTCACCTGATCACAGGGTAACCTTTGACCTTAACAAATATCCCCTAATTCTGGCTTTCATCAAAGCGAGACGCATCCGATCTTTCAGCCTCAGCTGTGATGCTGACTCAGCAGAATCCAGCCTTTTTCCGCAGCGTGTTGCTGGAGGAGCAATAAACGCTGCTGCAAGCGAACGCCTCAGAAAACATGGCCGACTTCTGCCTCGTCCTCTGAAAACGGCTCAGAAACGTTGGAAGGAGCTAAATGCTTCTCCCAGCCTGTTGCAGATCTTCCCACCATCTTGACCTCTGACCCCGCCTCTGTCATGGCACCATCAGTTTTCTGAGTTTTTGTCAAAAAATGAAGAAAAAAAATGAAAACCTTTAGGTGGATCTTTTTTCTAAAATCTATTTAAAAACTGTTTGATTCAGATGGTTTCATAGCCGCCGTCGTCATGGCCGCCGTCGTCATGGCCGCCGTCGTCATGGCCGCCATCTTAACATCCTGAATGAACTGTGATGTTCCAGGAAGAATGTCCCTCTGAGGATCCTTCTCATTCTCTATTGCACACTATAGATCTGCTAGAATAATCTAGATTCCTTCAGGCGGTGGAGGAAATGCTGCTGTGATGATGTTTGGTCTGTAATCCCACCAGTGTCTCTTTTCCTCCATCGTCATCCAGAACAGGAACGCTGACGGAATGTCGGAGTTCTGCTTTTCTAAATGAAAAGGTTTAAACAAGCGTCCTGATTGGATCATTCCATCCTGACAAACGGGGATTCAGATATTCTCCTCTTTCCTTGGTGGATATTCTCAGTCATCCAATCTTTGTTTCCAAGTTTAAAGACGTTTCTTTTCCAGAAAACTTTTAATTCAAAATGTTCCAGGTTTGATAGATTGGAGGAAAACCAAAACCTTGTTAGGGCTTCGATTTTGGTCATTAAACGGCTTTGCTTTGGTCCGCTCCATAAAGCCTGGAACTAAACGCTATTTCTGACATTTTGAACTGAAAAATCTTCCTAAATGGGAAGAGAAACGTCTTCAGACTGGGAAGCAAAGACCAGAGGATTGATTTTAACTCCTTTTTCTTTTCTTCCTTCATATTTTCAGGAATTTTGTCCAAATATTGAGTTTTCTAAGATGGAGAAAGAATCAGACCAATGAGATTAAAGTTGTGCCTTGGCCCCACCCCCAGCCTAGATCTTGGTGAATCAGAATGACAGGAGCTGTGTGTTGATCAGCTCATCTACTGACGGGATTAAAATCTGCTCTGATTTAATAATCTCACATTTCGTTTCTTCTTTCTCTCTCTTATCATCCAGTTTCCTGAACTTTAACTTTCATTCATAGTTTTTACTGAATTTAACTTCCTGTTTGGTTTTTAATCATCATCATCATCATCATCATCATCATCGTTTACATGTTCAGCCATATTTCACCACATAAATCAATCAATCAATTATACCAAGTGACTGACTGACTGGGTGACTGACTGACTGACTGACTGACTGACTGACTGACTGACTGACTGACTGACTGACTGACTGACTGTGTTCATGATGGGTAGAATCTCTCCGTCTGACGGTTAACGGAGTGTCTGTTCTGTTCCAGTGGATCATGGACGTGTTGGTGTGCAACGGTTTGGGGATCTACTGCGGCATGAAGACGCTGGGCTGGTTGTCCATGAAGCCGTATCAGTGGCAGGGACTCTGGAACATTCCCACCTATAAGTGAGCTGCTGCCTTCACTCACTATAGATGATGGAAAACATCTCTGCACACTTTCTGGACGATATTTTACTATTTCCTCTTAGAATTCCAATTCAGTTCTTTAAGACCATTAATCCCTAAAAATTAGAATATTTCTTCCTATTTTCCCTGTTTATCTCAACTATTGTCACATTTAGCAATGTTATCTTATTCTCCTAATATATAATCAGCAAATTATATAATCTGCTGATTATATAATCTGCAGAGGGGCTGAGATTAGTTTGTTTCAGTATAACGAGAGTCCCTGACGTGTCTCTGTACAAACTAGTGATGCTCTGATGCCATTTTTGGCCCCGATACTTGATACCTGCTACGATGCCGGATACCTGATACGATACCGGATACGATACCGGATACCGATACCTGATACCTGATACTGGATACCGGATACCTGGCTGTGCATCATCAGCCGATACCGTCTGTGTGAAATCGATGTGTTTATATGAAGAACTACTTGGATGTAAAATAATCGCCATCATGGCTTCAAGCTGCTGCCTTCCTTTGTTTTAGCCTTTTTCCTGCTTCATAAAGTGAATCCAGTAGAACTTTTTATTCCCTACCTGGAATGGGGGACAATAGTTGAAGAAACTTTAGGCTCTAAAATGATGTCGTTGCCATATTAGTTGGTACTCGCTGATACCGATACCAGCATTTTACTGCTGGATCGAGGCGCCGCCCCATACTGGTATCATTGTCGGTGAAACACTAGTACAAATGCCTGGAAATGATTTCACTACCAAACTCCTTCAGTCTAACATTTTAGAAATATTTGTCTGAAAAAAAACACATCAAACTATTTTTATCTGGATCTAAAAGTTCAACAGATGAAGTTTTTTCCGTCCCTCCAAAGGTTCATCCTCTCATCGCCTCTATTGTTGGTAAATAACTTTAATATGTTGAAGGAATCAAAGCCATGTTTCTAAATCAGTGTTATTAACGAGCAAACTAATTAGTGTAGATCTAACGCTGATCCCCCCCCCCCCATGGACACTAGTGACGCTAAACGTTGATCACACCCCATGGCGGCTCAATGCGCCCGCAGCGCCGCTATGCGACCATCTGCTGTCTGTATGTCGGTTAAATATGCGCTCGTTTTCCAGCCTTATTCTAAAAGTAAAATATAAGACAGGAAATTAGTTTTTTTTAAAGCAAAGAAAAAGAGAATAAATTCCGATAAAACTGGAATGAAAAGTTTGTTTAGTTCTGAATCTTCTTCCCTCCCAGGGGGAAGATCAAGCGGATAGCGTTCCAGTTCACCCCCTACAGCTGGGTGAAGTTCGAGTGGAAGCCCGCCTCCAACCTGCGGCGCTGGCTCGCCGTGCTGGGCATCATCTTCATGGTAACCGCCATATTTACTGGCTCATCCTGGGAGGCGGCCTTCATTTGCTCATCTGTTGGGTTTTTCTGGCCGTAGTTCCTGCTGGCCGAGCTGAACACCTTCTACCTGAAGTTTGTGCTGTGGATGCCGCCTGAACACTACCTGGTGCTGCTCCGCCTCGTCTTCTTTGTGAATGTGGGGGGCGTGGCCATGAGGGAGATCTACGACTTCATGGACGACCCGTCAGTGTTCCCTTATTATTCCCATTCGGCGCCGACCCGACCCCCGCTGACCTTCCCTCCGCTTCTCCCCACAGGAAGTTCCACAAAAAGCTGGGTCAGCAGGCGTGGCTGGTGTCCACCATAACGGTGACGGAGTTCCTCATCGTGGTCAAGTACGACCCCCACACCCTCATGCTGCCCATCCCCTTCTCCGTCATGCAGTGCTGGTTCCTGGGGATCCTCCTCATCCTCATCTGGACCCTCTGGAGGTTTTTCATCCGGTAAGAAGGAGGAACTGGATTCAGGTCTGAATAGAAAACATTCAGGATTCTTCAAAGTTTCGGTTTAAAAGGAAAGGAAATCGTTTCCGTATGAAAACAAACGTCTGATTAGATTTATAATTTATTTACATGGCGTCTGGATTAATATTTAAAGATGATCTGAGTGATTTATTGACAGAACGGCGACGTAGAAACAGATCTTCTCTAGAATAGATTTTTTACCGTTTTATGCAGATTCAGGCAAAATTACTGAAATATGAATTTTCCTTAAAGGAATAGTACACCCAAAACATGATTAGCCTTCATTTTCTACTCACCCCCATGCTGAACAACACTCTGGAGTACTTTTTTGATATCTCAAATGCATCTGGAGATCTGGGAGGCTTCTTGCTGTCTGCTGACATTCAAATAATGGAGGTCTATGGCGCCCGAGACAGAAAGGTCCATAAAAGTCCACAAAAAACGTGTCAATATTCCTCCATACTGCTCGTCCAATGTATTCCAAGTGTCCTGAGTGGGTAGCGTCCAGAATTTACTCGAAACGAAGTCATTTAAAATGTTTTTAGAGCATAAACAGTAGTGTATAGGATTTCCTGAAAGCGCGTTCACGAGTCTACGGAAACCGCGGCAGACCAAATCAGATGAAAGTGCGCATTCAGCGTCTGCTCTGCCGATAATGCAAGCGTAGAAGAAGAAATGTGCTGTTTACCTGTGCAAAGAAAGAAACAACGAAAGAAAAATGTCTGAGGACTTCAGTGTTGAGGAAGAGCATGAGTTCTTTGCCGAGCTGAATGCGCACTTTCATCTGGTTTGGTCTGCCGCGGTTTCCGTAGACTCATGAACGCGCTTTTAGGAAATCCTATACACTACTGTTTATGCTCTAAAAACATTCTAAATGACTTCGTTTCCAGTAAATTCTGGATGCTACCCACTCAGGACACTTGGAATACATTGGACGAGCAGTATGGAGGAATATTGACACGTTTTTTGTGGACTTTTATGGACCTTTCTGCCTCGGGCGCCATAGACCTCCATTATTTGAATGTCAGCAGACAGCAAGAAGCCTCCCAGATCTCCAGATGCATTTGAGATATCAAAAAAGTACTCCAGAGTGTTGTTCAGCATGGGGGTGAGTAGAAAATGAAGGCTAATCATGTTTTGGGTGTACTATTCCTTTAAATAATATTAAACACATTTATTTATTTATTTATTTATCCATCTCTGCTGTGAAGCATCTATCCTAGACTTTTCTATATTTTTATTTTTTCTGCCTTTTCTATCAATGAGAATCAGAGTTTTGCTTCTTTTATTAGTTTTAATGATTATTCAGAGCAAAATAAGTTTATTATTTAAAGATCGGCGATCTTGATGGCAGACAGAAGGTCAAAGGTTATTAAAGAGTTCAAAGAATAGAAACGGCTCATTTTTTAATGTTTTTATTTAGACAGATTTCCATCTTATTCAGAAATTTAAGATCATATCTGAGGAAATGAGCAGAAACGTCGAGTGATTTTATGCCTTTCTGCTATTTTTACAGAATATTTCCAACTTAGTTTTAAATGAAAACAACAATAATTGAGCAATAATGGGAGCGGCGGCGCCTCAAGTAATAAAAATAAAGATAAAAGACGCATATTTCACAGGAACAACCAAAGGAAGTTCGATGGTTTTAAATACTCAGACCAGTTGATGCAGATCTTAGAAATGTTTATTTTTCGACTTGGAGGAAAAAACTCAGAAGATTTTTGGATTTCCTGAGTATTTATTTCTTCCATTTCTTTTTTTACTTTTCTAATTTCTGATGATATTTTTTGGTTTAGTCATCTTTGGGAGACTTTGCATGTCCTCCTAGACGGATTAGACGGATGTTCGGTTCCTTCTCGGATCCCTCCGGTTCCCCATAGATCCTCATGTTCTCACGTCTGGATCAACTCTCTAGATCCGTCAGTTTGTCTTCCAGCTTAGCGAGTAGCTTTAGCATCGCCGTGATGAATCCTTTCTTCCATCTCCTCCATCCTTGTGTTGATCTTTGCAATTTCTTCGTTTATTGTCTCAAATTGTTCTTTATTTTCTTGGCGAAACCTTTTAGTTCTCGCAGGAGCAGCTCAGTGTCGGCCATTTTTGGACGCTGCTCCTCATGGCTAGTTAGCTTCAGCCAGTTAGCTGCTAGTTGTCGCCGCTCACGCTAAGCAGCCATTGTGATGATGTCGGATCAGGAAGTCGCCTCCTTCTATGTTTGATCGAATCAAAGTCCGATTTCTGTCTCATTGAAGCTTCTACAAGCTGCAGCATCTGGTTTCTTCTTTTCTAGCTTCAGGCTGATTTCTTTATGCTTCTTATCTTTATTACTTAAAGCTTTATTCGATTAAAGCTTTAATTGAATAAAGGTGAAATTAATCCAATAATCATTTAGTCCATTAATTTGAATTAAAGATATTTAGAGATCAGTGTCACACAGGGATATTTTTATGCATTTTAAACTATTTGATTTATTTTATAGCCAATGAGAAGCGAATAGAATAGAAGGGAAATCCCTTTACTGTCCCATAATGGGGAGGTTGTGTTCCAGCAGCAAAGGTTATAGCAGCAGTGATCAAACAACCTGAACCTTAGAAAATATTAACAGAATAAGTGACTGATTTTAACTTTTTGTTTTAACTCAATCCTCTGGACTTTGTTTCCAAGACGTTTATCATCCAGGAAACTTTTTCAGTCAAAACGTCTGGAATAGTGTTGAGTTCCAGGTTTTATAGAGCGGACCAACAAAACATGCAAACTGGTCCAACTATTAGAGATTAGCCTGGAATACCTGATACTGGTCTGTGCTTCTGAAAGGAGAGTCGTTAGGATCAACAGAGTAAAGAAAATAAACAATAAAATCCTGTAAAGTGTTTTAACAAAATCAACCTGGAGAATAAATAACCGATATTCAGCTGTGGACATTTTTACAGTGATTTGAAAACAGCAGAAACATCAGAGACGAGCAGAATGACAGCAGCAGGTTATTGAACTGAGGCAGAAACTTCCCTCTAATAACGCCTCCTTTCCCGTCCCTCTGTTATCGCAGTGACATCACGCTTCGCTACAAAGAGACCCGTCGGCGCCAACAGGAAGTGCCGGTGGACTGGGACCGGCAGCTGGGGAACGGCGGCCCGGCGGCGGCGGCGTCTGGCCGCAGCAAACTGAACGGCAGCTCCGAAACGCTGCGACAGAGGAAGTCCTGAGAGGAAGTCCCACTGAGGCCGCCGCCGTGGGGGGGGCGGGGGGGTTAGCAGCCATTGTGTGTGGGCGGCTCTAGGTGCTACGCTAAAGCCACTTAGCTGATAGTTTTAATGGTGGTCGGTTACTAACTACAAGAATTTACCTCATTCTGCTTTTTTTCTTTGACATTCGTGAAGCGAAATAGAAAAGTTTGATTTTCCGTCTTTCTGACTGAAACGTTTTCAGATCAGTGAACGAAATCTGTCATTTCCATTTTTACTGCAAACACCAGAACGACGTCTGCAACATTCCCTCCTCTGAGCCGCGGATCCCCTCTCATTTAGGTTAACAAGTCCAAGTCATTTTTCATGGTTTGAAGCAGGTCCCAAGTTCACTGGACTGTTTATATGTGGAAACGATTAAAATGCTTTTTTTTTTTCTTTAAGTTACTTTTCAGGATGAAACTTTAAGGTTTTTTTCATTAACTAAACCCTGCTGAACGTCTCTATTCAGAAAAAAAGAAATCTACCTGTTCTATTTCTTTACCTGGTGATTAATCAGTCTGTTGATCGTTCCGGATTATTGGTTTGATTTCTGACAATCAGCAGAAGTGAATCCAGATCGAGGCGAAAATCAGAATGATAAAATTATTTTTATTGCCAGATCTGTGAGGTTTGAAATATTAATGTTCAGTTATTTACTAAATATTTCACAATTAAAACCAAACAATTTACAGCTAAATTAATTTAGATTAGTACATTTTGAATCTCTGCACTCAATAATTGATTTAATTTAACTTCAAAGGAAGGAAAACGCTTTAAAACATTTATCTCTGGTTATTTTCTGTTCATTAAGATGCTGATAAATCAGCTTCAGTCCTTCTGCTGTTTGATCGATGCTGTTAAGACTCTTATAGTAACTTGATGGTGAATGTAATTAATTAAAAACCAGTTTATTGACTTTATTTCTGCCAAACACTAAACAGAAATATTCTGTAATGTTCTGATATTTTAAATAGAAACAGTGATTTTTGTCCAAAGTGATTTTTCTCTAAAATCTTAAACCAATATTCTTAAAGTTTGTATTTATGTGTTTTTCTTTCTATCCTAAATTCAATTATTGCATTTTTCTTTTGGTTTGTTTTCATTTCAGACTATTCAAAGGTTTAAACGAATCAAAAATTAAAAAACTTATTTTGTCTCAAAGAAACTGAAGATAAATTGGCTAAAATGTATAATTTGTGCTTTTTTTTTTCTCCTGGGTGTTTAAGGGTTAGTTTCTCTTTTAGCCACAGGGTGGCGCTAGATGTCGTCGTTTGAGCTCTGCAGCCATGTTTCAATGTACTTTGATTTAATGTGAACATGTTTAGGATTATAAATAAAGGAATATGATGCTGCTCCTTTTAATTTTATAAGTTTTTCAATAAAATCAATATAAAAGGAACTTTGTGTCTGCTGGATATTAAAGAATGCTTAAATATCAGTGAACATGTTTAATAAACACCTTTATCTGCTGCTAACTGTTGCCTTCAAATGTAGGCCTGTAATTGTCAATGTTTGTAGTTTCCATGGCAACAGCATTTTTTCTGATAAGGCAAACTTTTTGGATGACATTTTAAGAACGGAAAAAATAATTTCTTTGGTCTGTAGGTGAATAAAGCTTCCAACAGAGCGGCCATCTGCTGAGGCCCGCTGGGGTTCAAGGAGACAGAAGCAGACATAGAAAAAGAAGCA